TTAAACTAGGTCAAGGGTTTGAATACATAAATTGTTCCTTAAATATCAACTTTAAGTGCAATATTGCGTGGACATTGGGGGCAGTCCCACCGGACTGGCAGACTGGGGTGGTGGTTCCCTTATTTAAAAAGGGGGACCGCAGGGTGTGTTCCAACTAAAGGGGGCTCACACTCCTGAGCCTTCCTGGTAAGGTCTATTCAGGGGTTCTGGAGAGGAGGGTCCGTCGGATTATTGAACCTCAGATTCAGGAGGAGCAATGTGGTTTTCGTCCTGGCCGTGGAACACTGGACCAGCTCTATACCCTTAGGGGGATCCTGGAGGGTGCGTGGGAATTTACCCAACCAGTCTACATGTGTTTTGTGGATTTGGAGAAGGTGTTTGACCGCTTCCCTTGGGGGATCCTGTGGGGGGTACTCCGGGAGTATGGGGTACCAGGCCCTCTGATACGGGCTGTTAGGTCCCTGTATGACCGGTGTCAGAGCTTGGTCTGCATTGCCAGCAGTAAGTTGGGGTCGTTCCCAGTGAGAGTTGGACTCAGCCAAGGCTGCCCATTGCCATCGATTCTGTTCATAACCTTTATGGACAGGATTTCTAGGCACAGCCAAGGTGTGGAGGGCATCCGTTTTGGTGGCCTGAGGATCATGTCTCTGATTTTTGCAGATGATGTGTTCCTGTTGGCTTCATCAGAACGTGATCTTCAGCTTTCGCTGGAGCGGTTCGCAGCCGAGTGTGAAGCAGCTGGGATGAGAATCAGCTCCTCTAAATCTGAGACCATGGTCTTGTTTCAGAAAAGGGTAGAATGCCTTCTCCGGGTCAGGGATGAGGTCCTGTCCCAAGTGGAGGAGTTTAAGTATCTCGGTGTCTTGTTCACGAGTGAGGGAAAACTGGAGCGTGAGATCGATAGGTGGATTGGTGCTGCATCTGCAGTGATGCGGGCTTTGTACCGGTTTGTCATGGTGAAGAGAGAGCTGAGTCAGAAGGCGAAGCTCTCGATTTACCGTTCGATCTACGTTCCTACCCTCACCTTTGGTCATGAGCTTTGGGTAGTGACCGAATGAACGAGATTGCGGATACAAGCGGCCGAAATGAGTTTTCTCTGAAGAGTGGCTGGGCTCTCCCTTAGAGATAGGATGAGAAGCTTGTTCATTCGAGAGGGGCTCGGAGTAGACCCGCTGCTCCTCCACATCAAGAGGAACCAGTTAAGGTGGCTTGGGCATCTGGTCAGGATGCCTCCTGGACGCCTCCCTGGTGAGGTTTTCAGGCCATATCCAACCGGGAGGAGACCTAAAGGTAGACCCAGGACACGTTGGAGGGACTATGTCTCTCACCTGGTGCCTTGGGATTCCTCCGGAGGAGCTAGCCCAAGTGGCTGGGGGGAGGGAAGTCTGGACCTCTCGCTTTAGGCTACTGCCCCCGCGACGCGACTCTGGATAAGCGGATGAAAATGGATGGATGGATGGGATTGACTTGTTAAAGAGCAAGTCACCCCTAAATCAACTTTTTTTTCTGATAAACTATATAAATGTGTGTCTAATCGTGCTGCAGACACGTGTATTCAATAGTTTTGCATTTTAGTGCATTTCAGTTCAAATTTGAATTTTCTGCCTAAAACTGTCAGTGTTGTGCCGTTGTCAGGTAAAAACTCTGCACAGCTTTTCAATTTAAATCTGCCATCGCTATTGGCTAAGAGGTACCCTAGAATGTTAGCTGGTACCATATGATGTCACAATGTTGCTGTTAGCCTGTGCGTGTGTATTTGTTAGCGTCTCTGCCCTCTCGGTCTGCTAGGCAACAGCATTTGTTTCATTTTTCAAACAGGAAGATGGAGTGGAGTAATAATCTGGTAGGGGGTGATTTGCTCTTTAATGACTCTAACCAGCTGGATTTAGGGTTCTATGACTGTAACGGTCAGAACCAGAAACGTTTGGACATCTCTGTTGGCACATGGGCTTTGATAATAATAAGTCCTGCAACTGTAAAAATGAATAAATAAAAATATTAGAGACCAGATTTTAAATAAAAATAATCCTTGTGCTGATTGCAAGTTGATAAAAGGACATGATAAAAAAAACACACACGCGCTTTTTAATCACACCCTGGGAGTTTTACAGATCAGTGCCCTCATAACGCATCTCCCTGTTTTCATTCAATCACATTATCTCTTTGAGCCGTAATAAAGCCAAACATATTCCCTTCCTAAATACCCCAAGGAAAACTGAGATTAGATCCAATTTGTAAAGACACAAATGGCTTGAAACGCTTCCTCTTTACCTTCACTTGTCAGAGAAGAGTTTACTCAAAGCTTCATACTCCATCATGTCACACATCATCTGTAGTTCCTCCTCTGGCAAGTAGAGTAGAACAAACTCACAAACCGGCCTTTGACCGTTCTCTGCCCGAGGATCTCAGAAGATGCTCTGACAATAATAACATGGTTGGACAGTGTGGCAGAAGCCAGGGAAAAAAGTTTGACACCATGAGCCCTCCCATCCTCATTTCTCACACACGTACACAAACACCACAGGGGACGTGTCACCAACTCCCAATGAAATCCTCCGCCGAGCCTCTCCACTGTTTGAGTTATTACTTGTTTCCATTTTATCTTTCGCACTGGGCCAATAAAGCATGAATCAGGTTATGAGACAGGAACTGAGAGCTGAGCATCTCGACCTTTATTAAGCTGTCTGTTTAGTGAGTGGAAGCACACATACGCGCGCACGTGCCCAAGATTCACATCAACGACAGAAAAGGGGAAATGTGACAAGTGTTTGTTTCTGAGAAGAAAAGAGGGGAACAGAAGAACTTGAGAAAGCCTGGAGTGTGAAGTCATTGATGAGTCCGTGGTCATCGGGGCACTCGGGGCAGTAATCCCCAAACTGGAGGAGTGGCTAAAGCAGATCCCAGGATAAACCTCAGACATCTCAGTCCAGAAAAGTGCAGTTCTAGGAACAGCTAAGATACTGCAGAACCCTCAAGCTCCCAGGTCTCTGGTAGAGGACCCGAGCTTGGAAGGATGAGCCCAGAGGGTGAGATGGGAAATTTTAAATACAGTAGATAAATGCATTGCATTCACAAATACTCCACATGTCTCAGTACTTTAAGCTTCATTGTGATTAATTGAAAATCTGAGTTCTTTGAATTGTGCAGTTCCACATCCATGAAGAGTCAGTACCAGGTGACCGAACTGCCATCAGGCATCCTCTGAAAACGTGTTTCATAAAACTCACTCTGCACTCAGAGTGGCCTTGCTGGAGACAGAAAGACTCCAATGGAAAAAAAACAAAACATTGCAGACAGATCATGTGTCCCACCCCATGCATGAAGCTATTGCAGAACTGGTTTAATTACCTAAATTGTGTTTTCAGTTTTGCTCTTCAGTGTTCTTTCCATGCTTGGTAGTGTTCACCCAAAGGCTACTTGTGTTTAAGCAATGAATGGTATGTGTGTGTCATGTGAAAATGTGGCTGTGTTTACCAAATGAAAACACGTGTTCCATTTTGGGAACATGTTACGATATGTGGTGGCAGGGTTTTGTCGCAAAGGGAAGCCACGGTTTAGGAATTTGTGTGTTATGTTTGGGGTTTTGTGTGTGCAGTTTTGAAAAACGCGTTTTAGCAATAGAAAAAAACTGTAAATAGTAAATATGTAAATAGTCAGCTATTGTTCATGTCAAGGTGGATTCAAAAGTGGTAAATTACATTGTCTAAATGATGTGTGTGTATATTTCTCACACTTTTTTATCCTTCTTCATACTTTGCTGCTGCTACACCCAAGTCTGCACTCTCTGAAACAATAAAGACATTTTCTATTCTATTCTATTGAGTTTACACTGACTGGACATATGTAGCACTCTGTGACCTGACTACTGCCGGACTGGTGTGTTTGCTAAAGAAAGTTAGCAGTTTGAGGGAAATGCTTTCAAATAGGAAGAGTGGTCTCTGCTAACCAATGTTAAACTGTTCAGGCTGAGCGCATGGTTGGTGTTGAAAAGTATAATTATGAGCAAACTACAGATGAAACAAAAAATTAGACAATGGTGCAAAAGTCAGCTTTTTTTCAGTATTTCAGCTTAGACTGAGAGACCATCTGACGGCTCAGGAACCTTCTGCGGGTGTTTAGGATTCATTAGCTGATTGTAGCGTGACATTTTGTGTCTAGAATATTAAACCTTTTCACAATATTCTAATTTTCTGAGATTTTGAATGTTGAATTTCAGCTGTAATCCAAAATAATCACAATTATAACAAATGAAGGTGTGAAATATCAAGCTTTGCATATTAGTTTCATTTTTTTTGTTTAATTACTGACATAAATGAACTTTTGCTTAACATTCCGAGTTTTTGAGTTTCACCTGTATTCAAGATCTAAGTGCAAAAGGTTGTGTGCTGGAAAAGTTTCTGTATAATTTTCTATATTTACTCATCTCAGAACCAACTCTCCCTTAATTTTCTTCCAATTATCAGTTTTTTTTTTACAAATTCAACAATCAATAAATAGTAATATTTGTGTCATTTTTATATAAATTAATAAAAGGTTTTACTTTTTTAATCAAACATCTAAAGTCAACTGTGATTTTTAAAATCACATACCTAAAGAGAAAATACATTAAAACATTAAACCTCAATGAAGTTGATTAGTTTTGACCAAAAACAAGTTTTACCCATAATTAAACAGCATTTTGCTTTCATTTGACATTTAAAAAAATAAGTTCATGTGTCCGGATAATATTTGCGCAGATTCTTTATTATGATTATTGTTGTTGTTATTATTATTATTATTATTATAAGAAGAAGAATGTATGCTAATATGAAAGTAGTTGACAAACACTTCATTTAGTAAGCTGCTGTGTTTAAAAGCAACACTAAAAAGTACATTACCGACATGATTCTCACTTTACAGACTTTCTGTTGAATATACTGATGACCCTCCCTTGTTTTTATTTAGACACAGGGCTATTTTGTTTACGTGCTGGTTGTTTAGAAGTGATTTATAATAAAGTTGGATTGGATCGTCTGAGCGCGTGCCTCCCTCGTGTGTTCGAATCCCGTAACTGCAACTTCGGAGTCGTTTACCGTTGCTAGGCAACACCCAGGTAAATCTGACTCAAACGGATTTTACAACAGTCACACATCCGCTGCATTCCCGCTTAGCAGACATGTCGGGAGTGGAGGACTACGATCGTCAAAACGCTGTAATGATGGAGAGAATCACAGTAGAAATCTGAAGATCTCCGAGGAGATCGTCATGAACCCACACCGGCCCGGTCCGCTCAGGTCAAATTTATTTATTGAATAATTTAAATTTGTCTGTTGATCTTTGACTTGACTTGTAGCCAAGACTTGTAGTTAGGTTTTTGGCGTTAGCGTTGAGGATAGCTTGCTAAAAAGATTGATTATATTATTGATTAAATTATTTTAAACCTAAATGTTTAGACAGACTGCTTGTGTTGTGCTCAGTAATGAACTGGGATTTTTATTTTACTTTGTGACATACCAACCTCCCCCCTCAAATCTTAAAGAGCAAGTCACCCCCAAATCAACTTTTTTTTGATAAACTACATAAATGTGTGTCTAATTGTGCTGCAGACACGTGTAGTCAATAGTTTAGCACATTTTAGTTAAAATTGTAATTTTTGGCCTAAAACTGTCGGTGTTGTGCCATTGTCAGGTAAAACTCTGCACTGCATTTGAATTTAAATCTGCCATCGCTATTGGCTAAGAGGTACCCTAGAACGTTAGCTGGTACCATATCGGGGCAGCAGTAGCTCAGGTGGTAGAGCGGGTTGCCTCATGATCGGAGGGTTATGGGATTGACTCCAGCTCCCGCCAGGGGTATCCTGCTGTTGTGTCCTTGGGCAAGACACTTCACCCAACTTGCTTGTGTTAGTGGTCAGAGGGGCCGACGGCACCAAATGGCAGCCTCGCCTCTGTCAGACCTGCCCAGGGCGGCCGTGGCTACAAGTAGCTTACCATCACTAGCAGTGTGTGAATGTGAGTGAAAGCGTCTTTGGGTGTCTTGAAAAGCGCTATATAAGTTCAATGCATTATTATATGATGTCACAATGTCGTTGTTAGCCTGTGTGCGTGTATTCGTTAGTGGCTCCGCCCTCTCGGTCTGCTAGGCAACAGCATTTGTTGCATTTTTCAAACAGGAAGTGGGAGTAGTGATGGGAATTCCGGCTCTTTTTTAGAGAGCCGGTTCTTTTGGCTCAGCTCACCAAAAAGAGCCGGCTCTCTCGGCTCTCAAGTGGCTCCTTAGATTTTCTGTTGCGTAGAGTACATTTATAACCAAAATAATGAAAAACTATATGTAAAATGATTTAATAATGTAAAAAAAAATGCTATATTTCAAATATTTATCATTTCTATGGATTTAATAACTGAACACTAGGAAATCTCCACTTTCCGACTGCTGGCGCTCATTTTCTCACCGTCTTTGTCGCACTCTCTCTCGCTCGCCTTTTTCCTCCTCATTCCCTCTCGTCTCCCTCCACCCTCATGTGCACTGTGTGTGGACAGTCTGGACACGCAGTTACACATGTTGACCAATCGCCTGTAGCTTTCACCAAAGCAAGAGGGGAGGGGACGGCTCCCAATGACGAGCCGGCGCCCGTCTTTCACTTCAAAGAGCCGGCTCTTAGAGCCGGTTCGTTCGCGACCGACACATCACTAAGTGGGAGTGGAGTAATACTATGGTAGGGGGCAAATTGCTCTTTAAATGTTTTATGTGCTAAAAATATGATGTCATTGGTTTTCTTTTAGTTCATGTCCTCGCTGACAACCTCACGTCCAGGAAACCCCCGGAGGCAACGGCAGTCGACCGTGAGTTTCCATCATAACTAAAAATGATGATGTGGGGCCTCACTGGCTGCAGCTCATAGAGCATTTATCTTTTTCAGCTCCGGTCATTGAAGTTCAAAAAAAGGGAAAGGATTTCCGCAGACGTCGCACGGATGTCACAGCAACACATATCTTTCCCATTTGTGGAAAAAATACAAAAGAAAAGTGATTGAAATTATGTTGGGTTTTTTACAAACATACAACAGTAACACAAAGTGGACCTGTTCTTTGCAAACTAAGCCATGACTTTCCACAGGCCACACTCACCAATGCATCATCATGTTGATGAATGAGAAAGAGCAAAACTGACAGCAGCTCAATAACAAAATGTCACGTCACATGGGGGAGAAACAATAAGCCGAGGAGAAGTTGAACAAAAACAAAACAAGCAGTGTCTGTTAGGCAGCAGGCTCTGGTGTAATTACTAAAGAAACCACCCTTTACTAACACGTTGGGGTCATTAATACAGATAACAAACTTCTTATGCACTGCACCGATGTCCTCCTCATCTCATCTTCCTCCATGCAGCTTGGAGTTTAAGAATCCCTCCATATCGATCCAGACTTAGTGATATTAAAAATAATGGAAGGCTTAGTCTTTTACAAGTCTCTGGTGGCATCACAGGGGTTGTGATCCAGGTTCCGTCCACCTTCATGAGCGTCCCTTCATCTTCCGGCGAACAGATTTGCCTGGGCGTTTCTAAACAAACAAAATTTTAAACGTTAAGCTGGGCGGACACTGTTCGACTTTTTCACTCGTAGCACTCCGCTTCAGCTCAAACTGTACGACTTCCTCGCAGAGCAGATCTCACGAGTCATGCGCTCACACTGTACAACCCAGTTCTGGCAGCAACACGTCGGACCTAAAAATATGCTAAAAATAGCAGTTTTTACTCAACACGTCAGTCTTTTTTGTCTTGTTTTGCCTGTTGTCCTTCGGGAGTGCTGCAGGAGGACACACAGGGATTTATGGGGGTTGGACGAGGAAATCGAAATAAAGTAAATCTGTGTTTTGTGATCAGTTTAATTTGACATGAACACGACAAACACGCTTTCTTGTCATTGTGAGTAAAAAAACATGTTGAAATAAAAACGAACAACGTGTGTTATTAGGGAAATAGCGGGCGAGCGGTGTTGATACATGATTGCGCATGCGCCGTGAGCGGTTCTGGTACATTTTGGGTCGCAGCTGCTCACTGCGCCGCTTAAACAGTGCGATAACCTCACGAGGGACGAGCAAAATATCAAACACGCCAGAAGTCTGTGAGAGCTCACGATTGCTGATCGGTAGCTGGTCACGTGGTGTTAATCGCCTCTCGTAACCCCCTGTACACTACACCACGCTCAGCGCAAAACTCACCCCGATCTTGTGGATTCTCGCACGAGTGGAAAATCGGCTCACAAAAGTGAAAAAGTCGCACAGAGTACGCCCGGCTTTAGGGCGACAAACGTAAATCAGTCAGTGTTTTCATATATGTGTGACTCACATTTTGTTTTCCTCCTTTTCCTTTCCTCCCCCCCTTTTCGCCCCGGCCATGAGCCACTTTGGCACGGAAGTCTGAAACATCGTTGAAACTCTCCTTGGTGTTCCACTTCTTTCCACTCTTTTTGCCCCCAAAGCCAAACTTTTGGTCCTTGAACTTCCTCTTGGCACTGGGACTGAGAAATGAATTAAAGTCACAGTTTAGTAACAGAGCCAGAAAACCTAAGTTTGATGACTAACGCATGTGTGGGATAGGAAATAAACTCACCCTCTTTGTACTTTTTTTGATGCTCCGGAAGAATCTTTAGCTGTTTTCTTATCGCCATCCAAGAAATCCAGCTTGTCAGTAATTCCTGGAAAGGGAAAACACTTTAAAATATTTCCTAAATGAAAAAGCTAAAACTATGTTTTTTGTTTTTTTTTTACTTTTGAGCATTAGAGAAACTAAATCTAGAGTAGAGAAGTGAAAATCCACCTTTCTGGTATTTCTTTACAGAAGACATCATCGCCTTCTTCTCCTTCTGCCTCTTTTGAATCACCTCAACTTGGACCTGGAGAAAAATCAAATTAGGGTTAATTCATTTTTAAATTTAACTAAATCTGAGTCTACAGACGAAGAGAAAAGTGTATAAAACCAACCTTTTTGGCAAACTTCCTTTGCTCGCGGAGTTTCTTCGCCTTTTCCGACTTTTCCAGAATCAGCTGCTTTGAGATCAGCTTTTTCCTGATCTAGGTGAAGGAAGAAAAACATGTTTTATAACTATCAGACTAAAGTCGTCATCTGCATTTTTTTCCTGTGTGGGCGTCAGATCTAGTCCCCGCACCGTGAGAACAGACATCTATGCTCTAAAGCCGATCTTCATCCGCACATGTCACGTGATCAGGAAGCAGAAAATCCATGTGTTAGGAGATTGTTTTGGGCCGCTGCTGTAAAATAAGTAAGGCGCGAACCCAAAAAGCTTCTGCCGATCACAATTCGACAACTGGTTATGAAAGAACGGATAACGCTCGAAACGCATCCTGATGTAAGAGGTGAGTCTCCGCTTTGTTTTGGCGTCGACATCATCCTAGCGCGCAACGTTCTGTGACTCTTAAAAAAAACGTTAAAACGGTGAGAAACGCTGGCAGCGAATGAGTAAAACAAAAAAAACCTGTTCAGATGAGTGAGTTAAATCTAGCATTAAATCACTGAACACATGATGTAATCATGCAGCACTCACTCACCTTTTGCATGTGCTGATCTGATTTGGCCATCTCTGCAAAGTAGTCATCGGGCCTCTTGGTGGCGATGTCGTGTTGGTTTAGGAGAGGCAGCGCGTTCAGGACTGTAGCTTGAGCCTGACGGTAGCTGTGTGTGAACACAGAATCACAGACATCATATAAACTTTTAGTTTAATCACCATTTAACTGTGCAATATTTTTGAACCGGACAAAAAAATTATGTTTACATTTTGTACAACTCGGCCTTTCTGTAAAGCCGGATCATTCGTCGACAATGAAGGAGTTTTGTGTACTCGGTCATGAACTCGCATCCCAAAACCAACTTACACTGTTTACACAATTAGCATCGTTTGGTGGCCTCAACAGTTTCATAACACATTTTCTTTAATCTGTATCCAGTTATGAGCAAAGTGGAAATGAAGTTCAGCCCGTGAAGAAGGTGACGCAGAGCTGTTGGCAGGTGAAGAGATTTTTACATCTTTTTTTTTACTAATATTACGTGCCTATTAAGTGTCTACTAGGTGGAACCACTTCTCTACTGTTCACGGTAAAGTAGAAAAACTAAATGTAGAGAATAAAGTATGGCTGGAGCAAACTGGTCCTTCGTACTTTCATAGGTGCAAAACAAAAAGAACTGACGTTTCGACGGATTACGTCTTCATCAGAGTTCTATTACTGTAGATAAACTAAATATTTGATTCAGACCTGAGCTTCACTGGTCACATTAAGGCTATAACTAGATCGGTGTTTTATCATCTTCACCAAGTAGCACAACTCAGGGGTTTCATGTCCAGACAAGACCTAGAGAAACTCATTCATACGTTCATCTCCAGTAGGCTGGACTATTGCAATGCTCTTTTGGCTGGTCTTGACAAAAAAAGCTGGGAAGCAACTGCAGCTTATTCAGAACGCTGCAGCTAGAGTCTTAACAAGAACCAAGAGACCTGAGCACATCACTCCTGTTCTTAAATCTCTATACTGGTTACCGTAAACTACAGAATCAATTTCGGAGTACTTCTAAATATGAAGCTTTAGACCAGTCCTCAACTAAGGCCCTGTCCACACGTAGCCGGACACTTGGGATGGGTACCTTTGACATTTGAATCGATCCGGTACTAATTCCCGGTACCTACGAATCAATACCGGTACTTAACGGTACCAATTTTCGATACTTTTGAGTGTTTAATATTTTAATTCTCTTTTATAATTAAATATATATTTTTCTCAATATATAACAATATTTGATATATATCACAATAAATAACATACAACTGTTTGTATTTTAACATCGTCCTTGTAGTTTTATAAGCTGATAATTAAACTGAAGCAAACATCTTTACTGTGAACTAAATTTACTGTGCATCTTCATTCCTTTTGCCGTCCTTTTTCATTTGATTTTTCCTACCGGGAAGTTAGAATTTACGAGGAGAAAGCGAACGCACCATTAGCTGATAACAATGGTGACAATGGAAGCTAACATATCAAGCTAACGTTATCTTAAACAGTTTATTTAGCTGCTGGAGCAGATTAAAACGATGATGCCTCACACTTAGATCGTTGTCGCTGGTTTCATCTTCACCCGTCGCATTTAGTAAAGTGAAGCCAAACTTTAGAGCGCGTTCATGTTCTTCTAGTCGGAAATTCGGAGTTCCGAGGAGAAAGCGAACACACCATTAGCGAAACGGAAGCTAACATATCAAGCTAACGTTATCTTAAACATTTTATTTAACTACTGGAGCAGATTAAGATGAGGATGTCTCACTCAGATCGTTGTCGCTGGTTTCATCATCACCCAGTTACCCATCACATTTAGTGAAGTGGACCCAAGCTTTAGCGTGCGCTCTTTCTACCATGCTGCTCTGTTTATAACTGGCTCGCAGCAACCGACGACATAACACTCTTGCGCATGCGCAGCTGTCTAGGCAAGTTCTCGTTATGAAGGACGGGTACCGAAACGAGGCACAGTTTCAAATGACGTGAATCGGTGCTCAGGTGGTACTGTGGAATTCGGTCGGTACCTTAAAAAGTACCGAATTCGGTACCCATCGCTACCGGACACCTCCCGAAGCGAAGATATTTTTCTACAATTTGGCCTGTCATCCACAAGAAAAACCAATTTACGCATCAAAAACTAAACTTTTTAAAAGCTCCAGCTGAAATGAAGATTTGCATTTTCTCGGTTTCTGTGTGGACAGAAATAACCGGAGTTTTAGGTTTCACATCACTGTGACAAAAATGCTGACTGCCCATGTGCGACCTGTGTTTACATTACAACATGGATGCCCTCAGAGCCGAGCTCGCATTATCAAACTACATTTAACTAGTAGTTGAACTAGTTATAAAACTACATTTAAGAGCCATTCTACCTCCTTATAGGTCTGCACAAATGAGATAGGCGCCATGTTTCATGTTATGTTGAAGTTGAGCAGGAAGACTGCCGCCTACAAGTCTGGCACGCCTATCAATGTGCCTAACAATGCACTTATGCGGTCACGTGTAGTGGTGGGTCCAGCAACACTACCTAGCTCATAGAACAAGACCCCGCGTTGGTGCGCTCATCATTTAGGAAGTAGACACATGACTAATTCTACAAACGAGGCGGTGTGGACGTTATTTTTTCAGAGGGCAGATATTCGTCTTTAATGGCTACGTATGGACAAGGTCAGCAGACACCTTGAGGGCCAGAAGCTCTTCTAAAATAAAGTTCAAGTATTATTGTGTCTTAAATTATTAATATTTGAAATGGTTTTGTTTTCCATCAACACTGTTTTACTGTGGTTTCAGTCGTGTTTGAATAACGTAAACAATTACTGATATTTGGGAAATAAAACTTGCTGCTAAACTTTAAAGTCTCCCAATTGTAGGAAGTTAGGGGCCAAAGAGTTGGGGGGCAAGTGGAAAAGTCTGGTGGGCTGGATGTGGCCTGGCCTGTAGACCACCAGCTGACGTTCACTGCACCTCAGCTGTAACTTACAAGAACATTTCTCTTTGGAAATCATCATCAGCGTTGAGTTCTCCGTTGGACACAGCAGAAACGTTCCCTTCAGCGTTGGTGAGAACTTCATCAGCAGGTGGGTTGGTCATGTCTAACCTTTCCACCCAGGCTAGATCTTTATGCAGCTCCGCAAGACAGAGTTTCAATCCCTCCTGAAGGAAAACAAATGTGTTAGGCAAACTGCCACGGAGAGAAAAGAAAACAAATAAATATTTAGATTGTTTACAACACATCTTTGGATTCCTACGTATTTTTAATATTTTAAGCAATACCGTTGTATGTTTTCTTATTGTTTACTCTTTAATCTTACTGTTTTACAATTCTGTCTGCTCCAGTTGTGACATTTTCCCACCCAGACAATAAAGGGAGCGAGTTTCTATTCTGTTCTTTGTCAAAATGCAGGATTTATCTATTATATACAAAGTAAAAAGTACAAGTATGTTTTTTTTTCATTATAAAAACAGCATAATGACTACTCTGACCTTAATTACTCACCACATTATTGACGAACGTCTTGCTTTTATCCACCAGGACGTTCATCCCAGGTTTGAGCAACCCTTTAGAGAGGGCTTCTTGAAGCTAAACACAAAGACCACAGAAATATTTTTAAATAACTCTTGACTTAATTATGTCATTCCCATCATCGTTGTTTCTTGTTCCCGTTTCAACCGTATATGTGTCGATGGTTTCAACACAGAGCCTGACCAGTTAGCTAAACTCAAAACAGGTGCTTTAGTGCAGCTGGCTTAAGTCAAAGTTAGCATAAAACTTACTTCTCCATCCGATAATTCGATGTGTTCCTCCTCTGACTCCTCACCCAGCTGCGGGTCCTCCTCTGCCGAATCCATACTCCTGCCAGGGATGATCATAAAATCCGAATTTGTCTTATAAGCTGCACAAAACAGCAACAACGACACGAGTTAACAAACAGTCGCTCACGTGTGGAGCGATTCACAGGAGGAGGAAGTGACGTATGGGTTTGCTCTTTCGCGAAAATTGTCCGACAGAAGACAAAGAATGAAGATAAATGAAGTTCCGACATGACAAAATTAATTGAAAATAATTTTAAAAGCAGGCGAGACACATCAACTGTTATTGTTACTTTACTAATATTTTAATACTAACATTTTATAACGGCAACTAATAATACACATTATTTTAATGATGATAAATATCATGTAATAATTTCTTAGTTATTTATTATTATTTTTTTACCAGTAGTAAACTCCAACTGACGTTAGAATTCTATATTTGTTAATTTTGATAAACTAGAACAAACTTTTCTGGCTGGAGATTGGATCTCGTTGCTCTCACTGGTGTGCCTGGTATTTATTTATTTTTTAATCTTTTATTTCATTCAAAATGTATACAATAAACACAAACAAATGCAACATACATTAACATATTGAAAAAAAAAACATTTGAACAAAAAGGAGCAGATAGAAGAGAGTCTTATAATTTCTGCCCCTTTTTACAAAATAAAATTATCCGTCAAACAAACACAATATAACATCAGTCACTTTCTAATATTTTCATGTCTAATCTTTGACATTACAGTTCAACTTTTCATAATTGCTAAATACATTAGATTGTATACATCTTTAAATATAGCAAGTGAAGTTGATTCTTTAAATTCCCTGTTAATGGCATTCCACAATCTTACACCATTTACAGAAATGTTACATTCCTTCGCTTTGGTTCTGAATCTAGGTTTCTTAAAGACATCAGTTCCTTTTAACATGTACCCACTTACTCTCTCATGAAACATTTTCTGAAATGTGGCATTAGTTGGTAGATTACTCATATTCGCTCTGTACATTATTTGCAATATTTTCCACTCTACCAAGTCAGGAAATTTCAGTATTTTGTATCTAATGAATAATTGATTAGTGTGATCTCTATAGTTAGTTATTAATGATTCTCAATGCTCTTTTTTCCAAAATGAACAACGGTTGTGTAAAAGTTTTGCAAGTGACTCCCCAAATTTCTAAACAATAAAATAA